TATTTATAAAAATTTACCATATGAATTTATCTACACACACACATACGTACGAAATGACACATACATACACACACACATATGTATATTATTAGTTTGTAAAGTGCATTTCAAACTGTATGCCATTTGTTTCTGTTATATATTTAATTGCGGTTTGTCTACACAACTTTGGCCAAAATTAAATGAAATACTGTTTTAAGTATGAAGCATTATTCATCATAAACATACAATATAAACACACATACATATATACCATATGCATATAAATCGATATATATATATATATATATATGTGCATATATGAGTAATTTTATTGATTATGTAGCTTAGTCCTAACGTTAGCTGTGCTCACTTTTCTACTCTTTATACGAAGCGAATTATGCACTAAGTCTTCGAATATATCAAATAAAAACTGAAAAATTGTAATACGTATAAAATATTGAAGCTGTACTTTAATTTCTGGGATGAGATATATGTTGGAAGAGAGAGTATCACGATTTGCTGCGGGTGAGTTATATTCGATTTGAAATTTACTTATTATATTATATAGGGGCCAATAATTCTAAAAATATAACCATTTGTATCGTATGTAATTTTTGTCTATTTCTAACCTTATAATATGTCTCAAGCCGTTTACTATTTATTAACTCCAGACCTACTTCAGTGACTTATCATTGTTGGTGAAGAGGGCCTTGATATGGTATTACAAATATTAAATTATATATAAGAAATAGGCTGCATTCATATGGCCTTAGGGAGCTGCTGTAGCCGTTGGGACTAACATTACAACAACTATGAGTATCAGTCTGGAAAATTTAAGCTGACCTTGACTGAATAGAACCCTGTTAATGCGCTGTTAACATGTTTGTGCTGAACATATGTCAAATAGCAGTGGAATAAAAGTGCACTGTACGAACGAGTAGAATGGTGAAAAATGTTAATTAACAGTGACTGTTCACTGGCTAGTTATTTAACATAGTTATCTTTATTCACTATTATTTAACATGATTCTGTTGAAGTGCTGTTAAGTAACTTTTCTGTCACTGCTACTGATTTCTGTTCGCCAGTTACTTTTCACTATAGCCGTTAAAATTTTGGTCCCAACTGCCGCAGCAGTCCCTTAAGCTGTGCAATGCTATTTTCCTTGGCCAAATCTCTTATTGTTCACCTGTGATCCACACTCTTACTCTTCACTTGCAGACTTCTGCTATTTCTGCTAGAAAGATACTCTTCCTTTTACACTTCTTCTGCTTATACTTTCTCATAGCTAGCTGCCTTAGCACTTTACGTTGATTTCTGTCGCCGATATAGTCTTAGCACTTTGAATTGCTGTAGCTGAATACCCTTTCCTCGTCGCGCTTATTTGCTCGAGGCTTAGCAATTTGCTTCACCCACACACACACACACACATACACACACACACATGTGCCCCAAAGCTGGAGCAAGAAAAACAAACTGCGTGCAGAAACACAAATTTGCCAAACACTTTTTCCGCCAACATTTTCTTTGCCTGACTTTTTAAGCTATTTTCATTTTTCCTTACGACGACATTTGCCATTTGCCGTTCGCCAAATTGAAAATCGCTGCCAGCTGCGCAACCAAAACAAAACTAAAGATAATAATAAAATAATAAATGAAAATTTTAAAATTTGCAAAATGAACACAGAGCAAACAATTGATGAAGTTTATTGTTGCAAAGCGGCAAGAATAGCAAATACATAATTAAAGACCTCAGTTATGGCATTTACTGTTTCTCCATATGTGATTCGGTAATATATAGTAAACATAAATGGCTTCAAATAGTTGTATACTAAATTCATAGTTTCAGCTTTAACTTTAAATTTTAGGATATTAAATAAAATATGGGATACATATTCATTTCACTATATTTATATTCAAAAAATAATTTCTGATAGATTATTTTATTGATATTATTTTCACTGCATTTGTTATATTACAATTTCAATGCGAAGCTAGCTTTTAAAATAAATAAAATTGAATTTTCATTAAATAGATTTTTTTTTATTATAAAAATATAATTATATTTAAGTAGAAAAAGGCAATGTGTCCTGTACTCTTAAATTTAAAAAAATGTTAAATTTAAATAAAGTGTCCCATATAAATAAAAAAAAAAAACAAAATTAATTAAAAATAAAATAAATAAATTTGGATTTTTATTTAATAGATTTTATAAAACTATTTTTAACACCCAAAGTGGCTTAGACTACCCTCGCAAATGTGTCTAAATGTCAGCCCTGCTCCGACTAGATAGCAATTACATTGCTTCTGGCCACCAGCTTGAAGGCGAGTCGAATTAAAGCCACTCGATAAGGGCTTCAATTTGGAAGCCAACTGCTGCTGCATGGGGAATTGCAATTGTGAGTGATTCGTAATAATCGAAATCAAACACTCACAGAAACCATTCAAATGCGAATGCGCCAGTCCAGGTGGCCATCCAGCCAAAGGAGGTGTCGTCAAAGCAATCCCAACGAGCCGAAGGAGCGCCACAAAAGACGTCGCATCGCACGTCCGTCCATAAAATAGTTGCGAAAAATATTTTTGTATGAAAACAATGCAGAGTTTTTTTTCGTCTCCTTTTTTTTTTTGTTGGTAACAAAAAGAACAGCTTGAAGAGCAAAAATGGCAAGAAAACAGAAAAAAAAAAAAACGATTGCTGGCAATCAATTTGGTATTCGCTTTGAATTTGAATTAATAGGATTCTAATCCTGCGGACCGTTGGCTGTTGATGCTGGCTCGATGGCTTTGGCAACTAAATTAAAGTGTTTTTCACCATCAAATTAAACGCAAATGTTGATTTACCCACAGCGTGCGTATGTGTGTGTGACAGTAGGAGTGTATGTGTGTGTGTGTGTGTGTATATGCCAAAGAAAGGTTGACTGGTTTGAAATAGGAGCAATCTGATTAGTCCGATATGGCAGCTAAAAAATATTGCGGCATACAGCAGCATTTTAATTATCGCAATTCCCCAGGGCGTAGTTCAACTAATTGCCCTTACCTCTACCTCAAGGTTGCTCTAACCACGCCCCGGCCACAGCGTCAGCCTCAGATTCAGCTTTGGCCCTCCGCCACTGTCAGGTCCCTTGCCATTGCGATGGTCTCAGCCTTTGCTCCCAGTTAAGCAGGTCCGACACGCGCTACAATTAAACTATGCCCAAGCCCAGGACCAAAAGACAAAGGCCAAGTGCACAGCTGAGGCTTGATCGACGTGCAGATACCCTGTAGTGGAAGTTACACAAACTTGTGACTGTATTTATGAGTCGTTAATGGTATTCAAAATGTCTTAATTCCTCTCACATTGTACTTCGTGCTTTATTTACTACTATAGCTGCTTCCTACTATGCCTTCTGCTATGCCTAATTTTATACCTACCACTATTCCAGTAGAAGGTATCTCCTATTATATCCATTGATACCCGCCCCTCTTTACTTATTAAAATACCTCCTGCTATATCTCTTACCATTTCTCTTACTATCCCAACTAATATACCAGCTGATACTATCATAACCTCTAATATCATATCTATTACTATCCCTCCCTATACCTCCTATTATACCTCTTGGTATATACTCTTCCATACCTCCTTCTACATGTCCTATTATATCTCCTACTATACCTACTACTATATCTGTCACTATAGCTACTAATATACCTTCTATTACATCTCCTATTATACCTACTACTGTATCTGTCACTATATCTACTACTATACCTTCTATTACATCTCCTACTATACATACTACTATATATTCTATTATATCTCCTGCTATACCACATATTAAATCTCCTATTATAACTACTACTGAATTCCACTATACCTCAAACTACGTCTCCTACCATACCTACATCTATATCTCATATTCGATCCCTTTCTATACTTCCTTCCAAGCCTACCAGTATATCTCTTACAAAATCTCCCCCTACACCTAAATCACCAAACCTTCAATTCAGGCTCATCCTACTCCTCTCAAACTCTCTATAGGGTATATAGAAACCACACTCATGGGCTTATCAGAGAGGCAAAGCCAGAAGCTGTTGTCTTTTCTGTGTTTGCCTCTAATAACAAACGCAACTGCAATTTGTGGCCACAAAAAAAAAAAAAAAAAAAAAAAAAATTGGCAAGGGGGGGGGGGCAGAAAATCGGGCCCCCAACAACAAACTGACTAAAATTACGCATTCCGTGCGATATGTATGTACGAGATAATCATTTTAATAAATTTCAGTGTGACAAATGAGTTGGCTACAACAACAAAGCCAACTTTTGGCCCTTAGCCCTTAGCATTTGGCATTTGGCTTGCTGGCCTGAATTATTAATAAGACATTTGCCATTGCCTTAAGCAAAGTACGAGAGCTGTTTAATTGATGGCCAGTGGTATTTAGTAACTAGTGCTAAGTTACTCGTAGCTCGTACCTCGTAATTGCTCTTAGTTTATGTGTCACCAGCTCGCTATAGCTCAATGTCACGCCAATGCAGTGAATAATGCGAAAGCCTTTCGATTTGGCAGTTGAATTGTATTTTAGATGCGTAGTGCAGATATACTAATATATATAGATATTGGGTGTCTAATCTATTTACAGCTCAATAAAAGAATGATTTTCAATGGAAAATCACAGTTTGGATGACAAATTTTATTTATGCAGATTTCTGGACAAATGAAATTCAAAATGAAATCTATATTATGCTCAACGATGTACCATGCACGAGTATTTAACTAAACTCTTTTATAGGACATGACAATAAACTATATTAGTTGACATATACTTAGAATATATAAGACTAATCGCACTGGATAGCGTCTCTATTCAGTTGATATTTTTGTAAACTCAGATTTATGTGGAAATGTCCATCCAGTTTTAGTACAGAGTTGTCAATGTTTGACGGATCCAATTGGCAGCTCTACAAGGTTGCCCATATTATCAGACCCATGTTTTAATGCTTTTCTTAAATAAAATAATAATGATTTTATTTTGTGCTCGTCTCTATATACTATATTTTTTATTATTTATTATATTCCAGCAAAATTTGTGAATAAATTTAATTTTTGTCTAAATATTCTAGAATCAAAGTATGCTTGAATCTTTTTCATTTTGTTTTTTTGTTTGTGGAAGTGCATCTGTCCGTTTGGACAATGATTAAATTTGGTGCAAATTCGCAGAAGGATTTGGTGGGTGGGTTCTTCAATCGTCATCCGCTGAAACCGAGGAGATCAATCAAACCTTACCTATGGAAATAAATGATATAGAAAATATGTAATATTAAAGGAGAAAGTTTGTGCTATCCCAATGACGTGAAGTGTTTGTGTGCGTGTATATGTATAAGTGCGTGTGTCTAGTCCATTTATTAGTCGGTCATGTCCAATCCTTAAGAGTAACAGCAAGACATTTCATTCATAGTTCATATTTTCTTGACAACTTCAATTATAAGGGTATCTCTAGCATTCATTGCCTCCCACCTAATACACCCTAAGCCCAGCTAGTTCAGGACAACGATAATTGCTTGTAAAAATATTTACATTTTGCATTATTATGGAATGCAATCCGTTTTAATAATGTAATCCAAATATTTTGCTAGAGAATTTCAAATATTATTCTACGCAAGAAAAAGTTATGTATGTATGTATATATAGAAATATATGAATATATTTTTGTAATTTAATTTTGGCTAAAACGGCTCTGTATAATGTTCGAGTACGTTTACATTTGATGTTGTTATTGTTGCTTTTTTCTTTGCCCCACTCGTTGCGGATTTTGTTGAAAGTTTGCGCTGCTCGCTGGGAAAAAAAAGGAAAAAGAAAATGAAGAAGAAAAACCTCATTTTGAATGCATTTTGCGTAATGAAGATGAATTTAAAGATTGTGTATTTTTCCAGTTGGCGGCACAGTTTTTGGAAAATTTCGTGTTTCGAGTTGTTGGCAATTTGTAACTTCATCTTTGGCATCTCTGGCCAGCGCCGCAAGCCAATAAAGACTGTAACGGTAGCACTTTAAATTTAATATGCGCCAGACATTCTAAAACACGTATCAGATTTCCGAGTTGGCTGAGCTTTCCATTGCGCTAAATGAGTTTCAGCGCTGCAAAATTAAAAACTTTATCAGTGAGAAGTCAACAAAAAATGTGGAGAGAGGTGCTTCCACGTGTGTTGTGGCCATGGTGTGTGTGTGTGTGTGTGTGAAAAAACTTGAAACTTTTTCATGAAGTTAAAGCAAAGTAAAATCAAATTATTGTGGTTGGGCTCGTTGGCTTCCGTTGGCTGACTGGCAAAAGGATTACGCGACGGCATTTTCCTTCTACTTTTTGTTGTTGTTGTAGTTGTTGTTGCTCCCCACACTTTTCTAGCTACCTGTAACTTGTCGCCGTTGCATTTGCAGCGTACCAGAGCGGAGCGCGCCGGCAGATGGCAGGCAGACAGTTACAACCTCATGGCTGGCAGCCGGGCGTCGAGCGTCGAGCGAGCGAGGCGAACTCGTATGAAGTTGCCGCATTCTAATTGAATTTTCACTTTTTATACACGCTCGTGGTGTGCAAGTGAGCATATTGGTTTGCTCTGTTGGCAGCGAGATAGTAAGAAATAAAGTTAAGACCAATGACAAGGTTATATATGTAGCTCCGGATAATGTGGATCAGGTAAATCAAACATTTTTGGCGGTTCAGTAAACTCAGACGGCATTCTGATTATATATATTAATTATTATTCAATGAGGAGCGTGTATCATGCAGTCGCTTATACCCAATTCTCAGCCGCCTAGGCTCTCGGCCCTCGCATTGGGGCACACACGGCGGCTACGTGATGCCGCGACGCGGCACAAAAATTGCAATAATTATTTTTAATCTTAAGTACGACTTGCGCGTAATGAGATTTGGATTATCTGCGCATCCCTGCCTTACACACACACACACACACACACACCCCTACACTCACACAGGAATAACGAGCGAGACCCCAAATTTACGTTCAGCGTAACGCATAAAAAATCTCAGACTAAAGTTTTGGGCGTCTAAATTATGCAGACTTTGCATTCGCTGGGGGTGCGTGTGCAAGGGCGGGGGTGGCAAATGTTGAAAAGGATTTAATGTGTAGCGTTTTCTTGTATCTTTTTGCTTTTTAGCTCAGTGTATCACAATTTAACTGGGTTGCTTTATGCATGCATATGAACTGAGCTTGCTCATTGTCTGAGTTGCGTTGAATGGAGATGAGGCTATGGGAAATTTTTAGTTATTGTAGTCCAAAAACTTGTTTAAATATTAACTGAGAAGGAAGTTTGAATAAATTGTATTATAGCATCATATATTGGCCAGCATTTAAAAAAATAAAGCTTTATGCATAACTATAACTCACCAAATTATTTAAATATTCAAAGCTGTAGATAAATAAATACATATAGTGACGAAATACTGATGTAACATTTATTTCAAAACTGAATTTATGTTTATGTATTTTTTTTTTATAATTAATAATTGATATATTTCTTATTAAATATTCTTTACAGAGCTAATCCATTGGTTTTTTTTATATATTTATGCTGCACCCATTAAAAATGTAAATTTCGGTTTTCATTTTGTAACGGGTCGAAGAAGGCCTGGCAGGCCCCATAAAGTACATATGGCCATATTCGTCTATAGCCATGTTCGTCTATCCGGTCTAGTCAAATATATAAGCCAGTGAAAAGTTTAAGTACATATTTTAAATATTATAGGCTTAAATTATATTGAATAAATTCTATTTAATTATTAATTAATAATTTAAAGTTAAGAAATGAATACCATAAAAACTAAATTCCATTTACTTATTATTTAAAATATGCTTAGTCTGTATTTGTTGTGGGTTTCTATAATATATATGATATATGTTATAATTTCGAAGGCTTCAATTTTTCCTTGACTAGGAATAAATAAAAAAAATAAATTTATTTAATAGTTTAAACTTGCCCATACTTATGTGGGTGTATGTGTGTATATGCATATATCTGATAGATTGGCTGCTTTGAACTTTGAAACCTTTAGAAATCATCATATACATATATATTTGCCTGATGTGTGTCGATTGTAATATTAATAATTATTAATTGGTTGTCGAGTCTAATTAATTGAGTGTGATAAGTAAAATGATATATGCTGAATAATTTAATCACCAGAGCATTTGCTGTGTGTCGGCTAATGTATTGAATGACAGTGATGAACTCAAATTATATATACATATATTGAGTACTTATAAATATACATAAATATACAAATTTGGTTTTTCTATAGCAAAAATACCAAAGGTTAATATAAATCATCAAATTTGTATACACTAAAAATTGCAATTTAAATTCAATTCATCTGCTTTCCTGATCCACTCACTTGAGGCTTTGCCTTGAGTCCCAATTTTCTTCTTATGGCGGAGTAGGTGCCTTGCATAAAGCTAATGAGCATTAGTGTGAGCATCAGACAGGCGCAGGTAAAGCGGTTCTCTAAGAGGCTCTGATCGATGCCCAGTTGATCGTCACTCGGTCTGGCAGTGGACTGTAGCTCCTTGTGCAAATTGGCAGCCGCATTGAGGGCGGACTGAAAGCGCAGATACTCCCATCTCTTCAGTTGATCAAGACTGCGGGCGCGGCACTTGAATAGATTCGGTTTGCGTTTCGCCTTGTTAGACTTCCTTCGTTTGTTTGTCATTCGAATTTTATTACGTTAATTTAATGCTGAATCCCGAAGTGGGAATATAAAATAAAATAATCAGCTCCTGACTTGCTGCGTTTCAATTTCAGTATAAACAAGCTCTGGGTTGAATCTTGGTTGATTCTGGGCTGATTCTGGTCTCACAATGCATAAATTTGCAGCAGACAACGAAAAGTTGAGATACTCTACTCGGAGAGTTGTATCAGCTCTGCTATTAGATATAACTCTTGATAAATGTTTGAAACATTTTTAATATAACATTTTCTTTAGAGCAATAAATCTTCGGTTAGGCGAAGACGGCTGCTCATTCTTGTTAAGACAAATATTGCATTTTCATTAAGTTAAAGTTCTTGATTTTTAGCTCTTGCGGTCTGTGATCTGTGGCACAGCTCAGGATTCCAGCCATCGTCATTTTAGCCAACTGCTGCGCTTAAAAACTTTTTCGGCTCCGTTCGCTGAGCAACTTTTTCCACAAACCAACAAACTTTTAAGGTCTGTCTATCTGTCTAACTATTTGGCTATATAAGTGGTTGAGCGTCTGTGTGTGTGTGTGTAATAATCATATGCAGAGTCAAAGACGATTGGCTCTCTGCTCTCTCTGCTCAAACTTTTGACTGACAGCTGCTTGTTGCCATAGGCCGTTGTCAGCTACAAGGAAAATCGCGGAAATTTGTTTGCCATTAACTGAAAGCTAACTTTGGTCTTTAGCATTTACTTATAAATAGCATATGTTAAACAGCTATACGAGCTCTATAATCCATCTGCGTGTGGGTGTCCCCACTATTCATATCCAAACAATGACAAAGACAACTCATGTCAAATGCAATTTGCTTCAGTAATTTACATTATTTAAGAGCTCAGTTTCAGTTAAAGCGCCAGCAAAATAAATTTTTACAAAACTTGATTAAATATGTTATATATTTACTTATATACTTATTTATGGGACACGAATATATTCCACTTACTCTTAATAGAATATTTAATAAAAATATGTATTTTTAATGATGTTTTGCGTTACTTAAAAAAAAACAACATTATTTTTACATACATATTATTATTTACTACTGTTTTACTACTACTATTATTATTTACTACCATTTTTACTACTACTATTTTACTACTAGTTCTACTATTATTATCTAATAATTATTTTACCAATGATTTACATAAATGTGTTATTTACATATTAAAGTCTACAAAGCAATTAATTATTATAATGCATTTTATTAATATAAATTTTATTATGTATAATATATAAATAAATAATTGTTACATACAATAAATACAAATTTAGTTAAATAAATAAAGTCATATATATTGTATATATCTTTATAACGATTTTTGTAGTGGACAGTAAAGTCGTGTAAAAAATATTTTGATTTTTTTTTATGGTATAAAATATTTTAAAATATTTATCATTTATTACTTTTATTTTAATTAATTATTTTTTAAAAGCTGAAATCGGTTTTTATTAATTTATTAACTAAAAATGAATTGTATATATTTTATTAATATCAATTCAGTGAATTTTCAGTTGATTTAATTTTTTATTATGCATAAATAATGTAAATCAGCAATATACATAAAAAATAGCATAATATTCTTATATGATTCTTCTTTCCTGCTGCTAGTTTTGGTTTTTTATTATTTACGAAGCATTCAACTATTTTTGATGGTGACAAAAATGAAAGCCCGTAGCCTAACTGTGAGCCATTTTCACACTTCAACGATTTTGGACAATAGCTAAAATTGCAGATTTTTATTATTTCCATTCGGTTTTTTATTTATTTTATCGGTTCGTGCGAAAAATCGAAATGAATAAAATATTAGCTGGCTGACACACGACACACTCTCTCGAGTTTTTAATAAAGTTCGCTCCGACAAAGCCAAAAACTTTATCAAAAATCTTTCGTTGTCAATTCGCAGAAAATAAAAAACCAATTGCATTTTTTTATTCGATTTTTTTTTCTATCTATATATACATATATATTTATGTATATATGCATGTCTATATATAACAATAGTTGACCAGGCACTTTGAAAGCTGGCGAACCAATTGAAAAGTTTTCGGTTAAAATATTCTTTTATGCATATCAGACCCGATTTTGATGAACGAAAAATGAAATGCAATTTCAATGCCAATCCACAACTTTTTCTGTTTTTCCGTTTTCTGTTGGCAGTTTTGTTTTGGATTTTCCTTTTTGTTTTTCATTGAATGCATAGAGCCTGCTGAGATTGCATTGACAACTATCTAATGAAAGCAATATTAGTTTTCAATGCAAATTCGCTTGTTGTGCAGCAATTAGAGCAAAACGTAGATCATTTTGATTTCACTCTTTATGAGTTATTGATTAAAGCACTAAAATTCACATCATTTGGCTATCGATTTATATTTAATTGTAATCAATTGCTTGTGCTGTTGAAACAGAAGCTAAATTGCATGAAAAGTTGTTCATTAGAATCTTTTATTGTTTAGGGAATTCATGACGAGACAAGCAAAGCCTTAAAGTTTTTGAATTGGATTTCTATGGCAGCCTCAATAGCAAATCAATCAATTTATCAGTTGGACTGCATATTGAAGAGCTCTCGTAATGCCATTTGCGGAACTGCCATTAAGTGACTTATAATCATAATTTGCAACATGTTGCCAGTTCTTTTCGTGTCCAAAGGACTTGCGCTTGTCTGCCTGCATAAGGACATACGGCAGCAGCCTTAGCTGCCGCAATATGTCTGGCATCTCGGCGCTCAGCTTTGCTGTTTGCACTCTAATTTATGCCATGCGAGTGGCCCTCGAAGTGGAACGACCTGGCCACTGCCATCTCGCTGCTCGCTCCATGCTGCACCAGGTGAGGCAAAACCCATTTTCCTTGCAGCTGATTGCATTTTATAGCAGTGCGCCCGGCAGCTGCCAGGCTGGCGAACAGCTGAAGCATCGCTATGGCGGGTGGCAGGGTCGAGGGGCTGCCTTCTAAGCTGTTTGCTTTATTTTCAATACCCTGAAGCTGTGGAAAGTGGGAAGTGGGTATGATAGAGTGGCGAGAGTGGATGTAAAAATCGGAAGTACCTATGGCAGGCAACATAAATTATATATGTTTGTGATCAGGAAAATAACTAAGGTCAATGTAAACTATTGAATGTATATAATATTGAGAATAATCGCAGCACTCTTAATGAGCTAAAAGTATATAAAAGGTTGCAGAAACAGTTCTTTGCAGTAGTGAGGGTATCTGGTAGTCAGGCACTTTTTAATGTCCGACCATCTATTCAATGTGTATAACATAAGTATAGACCGATTTAATTACTCACTCTTTGCTGAAGTCGCAGTATATTCTAGTCTCGCTCACTGGACTAAAGTACTCTCAGTACTCTCCCATGCAGAAGTCGCAGTATCTGCTAGTCAATCACTCCCTATGAGACCATTTCTCCCATGTTTTTTTGCTCAGGCACGAATGAATTTTTTAAACTGACGCAACAGCAAACACGAAACACGAAACACTGCAAGCCGAAGCATTTTGTCTAAACGTAAAGGCTAAAATAAATAAAAATTTATTTAGCGAAAGCCAGGCCAACGTTTATTGGCCAACAATTTATTGTTGCAAATCATCAGAGCAAAGCCTACTCGCCGCTCTCTTTCTCTCTTTCCAATAAATTAGATCGACTTTTATTTGCATCGCTCCATTGTTGAGTCTCGGGCCGCAGGCGCTTTGCTGACACCAATTTCCCGAGCTCACTTTACGTTTTATTTGTCTCGCATTTGTTCAACGGGCATCAGACACGGCCTCTTACCCCTACCCTTGGACGACCGTTATGCAACAAAAGTTGCGTTTAATAGTTAATGCAAAGCTTTTAAGCAGCCACCGGCCAACAGCCAACAGCGGCCAGTAGCCTAACCTCTACACTTCTCAACGGAACTCCGGAGTCAAGCTGTTGAATGTAATTTAGTTCGCGTCAGCGCCTATTCGTGGCATGCCACGAGGCAGGCCAATTACATTTGGCTTCTATAGTATATGGGATCTCGTTCGGTTAGTAAACTAATTCGGATTTGAGCAATGCCTACGGCATATAAAATAATCATCAACTAAATGTAAATGCAGCCGAGTCTCGATAATTTATACCCCGCAAGTTTCATCGTCTCGAAAAAAAATCGTTATCGATAATTCTCGATATTTAGAATTTATGTGTAAATCGAAAACAAACAAGTAAGAATGCTTTAGTCGAGACTGCTCGACTAGGAGATACCCTGATCCCTCTAAGCTGTTATTCTAATCATTCATTTTTATGCACACATACATACACATGCATCCACTCACACGTATATCATGCGGTCTGCTGACTGCGCAGTAAGCAGCGACTGCGCTTCGGCTGCGCTGCAGTGTGGGAGATTGTGTGAGAATTTTATTTGTTGAATAATTTCTTTTGTAGACATACGATCCTAATGAAACTTTCAGAGCGTAATCATATGGTTAAAATGTATATATATAATGTTCAAATTAGGCTAAAAAAACAAAATCAATTTTTCGATTATTCTCGATAAAAAAGTTATCGGATGATTTATCGAAAAAATAAAGCAAACTCGTACACACGAGTATCATGCCAAATTTCAGCTCTCTAGCTCTTGTAACTTCTGAGATCGACGCACTCATACGGACGGACGGACGGACAGGGCTATATCGACTCAGCTCGTCGCGCTGATCAAGAATATATATACTTTGTGGGGTCTGCCACGCCTTCTTTTGCTCGTTACATACTTTTTCACAAAACCATTAGACCCTGATTTCCCATTTTCAATGGGTTCAGGGTATAAAAACTGATCCTCTTGCCATTTCGAATTATGGGGAATCGACTGTATATCCATAAATTGGATTGCGTCTGTGATTGGATCAGATATCAGTAATAGTTATAGTTAAAGTTAGCTCGCATCTAAAATATTATTATACATATATTTTGACATATATAACTATAAATTCCTTTGCATTACAGTACAGTTAAAGTTAGCTAAAATATTTATATACACACATTTAGCTTTTAGACTAAATTTAAAACGAAATCAAGGTCCATCAATTGCATTAGAGTGTTAATTAAATGCATTAGTTAGCAG